CCCTCCATCCCTCCATCCCTATGCCCTTCATCCCTACGTCCTCCGCCCTCCATCCCTCGTCCCTCCATCCTCCATCCCTCGTCCCTCCATCCCTCCGCCCTCCATCCCTCCATCCCTCCATCCCTCCATCCCTCCACCCTCCTTCCCTCATCCCTCCGTCCTCCTTCCCTCCATCCCTACGTCCTCCATCCCTCATCCTCCAGCCTCCATCTCTAGGTCCTCCACCTTCCATCCTCCATCCCTCCATCCTCCATCCCTCCATCCTCCACCCTCCTTCCCTCCATCCTCCACCCTCCATCCGCCATCTCTACGTCCTCCACCCTCCACCCCAATGTCCTCCATCCTCCACAACCCATCCATCCCCTCTACGTCCTCCACCCCTCATCACCCCCCACCCTCCCGCCGCCCCACGGCCTCCCCGCCGCGGCCTCCACCTGCGCCGAGGCCGGCGTTGACGAGGATGCAGAGGCCGGCGAGGCCGAGGGCGGCGGCCTGGGTGAAGCGGCGCCCCAGGGTGCCCATGGCGAGCACGGAGAGCAGCTTGGCCGGGAYGTCCACGGCGCCGAACACCAGCTGCGTCACGTAGACGTCCACGCCGAAGTGCTGCAGGTCCATGGCCAGCCCGTAGTAGGCGAAGCTGGTGGAGAACCTGCCGGGCGGCGCGGCTCCGCTCGTCCCGCTGATCCCCATGGGGAATCCGGGGGGATCCGGTCATCCCACTGATCCCAATAGGGAATCCGAGGGGGATCCGGTCATCCCACTGATCCCAATAGGGAATCCGAGGGGGATCCGGTCAGCTGGGCACCGAGACGTTGCCGGTGATCCCAATAGGGAATCTGGGCGCGCTCTGGTCATCCCAGACACGGAGACACTCCCCTTGATCCCAATAGGGAAGCCGGAGATGGAGGTGCTCCCATTGATCCCAATAGGCAATCCGGGGGCGATCCGGTCATCCCGGACATGGGGGAGATCCGGTGATCCCGATAGGGAACCCGGAGATGGAGGTGCTCCCATTGATCCCAATAGGGAACCCAGACACGGAGACACTCCCCTTCATCCCAATAGGGAATCCGGGGGCGATCCGGTCATCCCGGACACGGAGGCACCCCATTGATCCCAATATCAAACCCGGGGGCGCTCCGGTCATCCCGGGCACGGGGGCGGTCCAGTGATCCCAATATGGAATCCGGAGGTGCTCCGGTCATCCTGGACATGGGGGCGACCCAGTGATCCCAATAGGGAACCCAGAGATGGAGGTGCTCCCATTGATCCCGATATGGAATCTGGGCGCGCTCTGGTCATCCCAGACATGGAGACACTCCCATTGATCCCAATAGGGAACCTGGAGATGGAGACACTCCCATTGATCCCAATAGGGAACCCGGAGATGGAGACGCTCCCATTGATCCCAATAGGGAACCCGGAGATGGAGACACTCCCATTGATCCCAATAGGGAACCCGGAGATGGAGACGCTCCCATTGATCCCAATAGGGAATCCGGGGGTGATTCGGTCATCCCGGACACGGGGGCGCCCTATTGATCCCAATATCGAACCCGGGGGCACTCCGGTCATCCCGAGCACAGAGACATTCCCGGTGATCCCGATAGGGAATCCGGGGGTGCTCCAGTCATCCCGGACATGGAGACGTTCCCAGTGATSCCAATATGGAATCTGGGGGCGCTCCGGTCATCCCGGACATGGGGATGGTCCCGYGATCCCAATAGGRAACCYGGAGATGGAGGTGCTCCCATTGATCCTGATATGGAATCTGGAGGCGATCCGGTCATCCCAGACATGCAGACGCTCCCATTGATCCCAATAGGGAACCCGGAGAAGCTCCCGGTGGTCCTTGTGCCGGAGACCTCCCAGTGATCCCAGTATGACCATGGAGATGCTCCCATTGATCCCGACCCCAGGGATGCTCCCATTGATCCCAATAGGGAACCCGGAGACGCTCCGGTGATCCCAGCATGACCAGGGAGACGCCCCCATTGATCCTGGTGCCGGAGATGCTCCCATTGATCCCAACCCTGGAGACGCTCCCATTGATCCCAGTGTAGACCCGGAGATGCTCCCATTGATCCCAATACAGAACCGGGAGACATTCCCGGTGCTCCCAGCGCTGCGGACCCAAATCCGCCCTTTCTGGCCCCAAATCCGCCCTTGGGGGCCCTGGCGCTACCAGATGCAGGCGACGCCGCAGGAGACGCTCCTCATCCCGCGGGTCTGGACCAGCATCCGCAGGGAGCGCCCGGCGCCCGGCGCCTCCGGCCCCGCCAGGGCCTGCAGGGTCTGCGGGATCGGCGGGATCCAGCGGGATCCGGGCGGGATATGGGGAGATAAGGGGGGATATAGGGGCATCCGRGCGGGATCCGGGCGGGATGGGGTTCGGGGGACGCGGAGGGATCTGGGGAGATCCCAGCGGGATCTGGGTTCAGGATCCAGAGGGATCTGGGGAGACCCGGGTGGGATCTGGGTGGGGGATCCGACAGGATGGGGATAGGGGGGATCCAGAGGGATCTGGGTTTGGGATCCAGAGGAATCTGGGGGTCGGATCCAGAGGGATCTGGGTCCTGGATCCAGAGGGATCTAGGGGTCGGATCCAGAGGGATCTGGGGGTGGGATCCGCAGGGGAGCGGGAGGGGATCCAGGGGATCCGGGCAGGATCTGGGGGATCCAGGGGGTCCAGGTGGGGAGTCGGGGCAGACCCAGGAGCCCTGGGAAGGCTCCGGAGGGATCCGGGGGCGGGGGACGGACGCGCGGGAGGATCCGCCGGGATCCGCCGCCCACCTGCAGGCCGATCCTGTCGCCCTCCTCCCGGCGCCCGTTGACGCGGGCGACTCTGCGGAGCCCCCGGAGCGCGGCCTGGGGCCTCCCGGCGCTCACCTGCCAGCGCGCCGACTCGGCGAAGAGCCTGCGGGCCCAGGCGTCCGGGAAGGGGCCCCGGTGTCCGGGAGGGTCCCAGTGCCCGGGAGGCGGCCCAGGTGTCCGGGAAAGGGCCCCGGTGTCCGGGAGGGCCCCGGCGTGCGGGAGAGGGACCCAGGCATCCGGGAGGATCCCAGTGCCCAGGGAAGGGGCCCCGGCGTCCGGGAGGGTCCCAGTGCCCGGGAGGGCTTCCACCCCACATCAGAGGCCCTGGAGACCCCCAACACCCCCCCCACCAGGGGCCCAGGCGTCCGGGAAGCCCCCCGGCGCCTACCAGGAGTAGAGGAAGAAGAGGTAGAAGGGCAGCGAGACGGCGAGCTGGAGGTGGCGCCAGCGCGGGAGGCCGAAGGCCGCGGCCGCCAGCACGAACTGGCCCAGCGTGTAGCAGTAGCCGTTGATGGTGCCCACGGTGGCCCGCAGCTCCGTGGGGATCCACTCCATGCCTGGGGGGCGGGCGGTGAGCACCCGGACGCCTGGGCCCCTGCCCGGACACCTGGGTCCCGCCCGGACGCCTGGGCCCCTGCCCGGACACCTGGGTCCCACCCAGACACCTGGGCTCCCACCCGGACACCTGGGTCTCGCCCGGACGCCTGGGCCCCTGCCCGGACACCTGGGTCCTGCCCGGACACCTGGGTCCCTCCCTGGACACCTGGGTCCCACCCGGACACCTGGGTCCCACCCGGACACCTGGGCCCCTCCCTGGACACCTGGGTCCCACCCGGACACCTGGGTCCCGCCCGGACACCTGGGCCCCTTCCTGGGTCCGTCCCACGGGTCAATGGGAGCAGGACCTCGCCCGGACGCCTGGGCCCCGTCCCCGGGGTCCCCGCGCGGCCGCCGGGGCCCGCTCACACAGGGAGGCCGAGTTGAGGCTCACGCCGGCCATGGCGAGGCCGGCCAGGCCGCGGCTCACGCAGTAGAGGCCGAAGGTCGGGGCGAGCGCGGCCGCCGTGCCGGCCAGCGCCAGCTGCAGGTAGCACCAGCGGAGCAGGGGGCGGCGCCCCCACCTGGGGACACGGGGGCCGTGGGGACACCGGGGGGACCCCCTGCCCCCCGCGGGCTCCCCTGGCCCCACACGGGCCCCACAGCCCCACATGGTCCCCACGTTGGCCCCACATTGTCCCGATGGCCCCACATTGTCCCCATGGCCCCACACAGTCCCCACAGCCCCACACGGTCCCCATGGCCCCACATCGTCCCCATGTCCAACATGGTCCCCACATCGTCCCCATGTTGTCCCCACATCGTCCCCATGCCCCGTGTTGTCCCCACATCCCGACGTCATCCCCATGCCCCACGTTGTCCTCATGTTGTCCCTGTGTCCACATGTTGCCCCCACGTACCACACTGGCCCCACGTTGTCCCCACATTGTCCCCACATCATCCCCAGGCCCCACATGGTCCCCGGGTCCCACATTGGCCCCACGTCCCACCTTGTCCCCATGTTGCCCCCACATCATCCCCATGTCCCATATTGTCCCCACATGGTCCCCATGGTCCCCACCCCATCCCCATGTCCCCATGTTGTCCCCATGCCCCACATTGACCCCACGTTGTCCCCATATCATCCCTACATCCCACATTGTCCCCACGTTCTACATTGTCCCCATGTTGTCCCTAGGTCACCATGTCATCCCCATGCCCCACATTGGCCCCACATCGTCCCCACATCGTCCCCACACCAGCCCCACGTCCCCCACGCCATCCCCATGCCCCACATTATCCCCACACTATCCCCATGCCCCACATTGGCCCCACATCGTCCCCACTTGTCCGAGAGGATCCCGACGGCGATGGATCCCACCAGGATGCCGGCCATGTAGATGGACTGCGCCGCCTGCCGCCAGCTCCGCGCCTCGCACACCAGGTCCCACTGCGGGCGGGGCGGGGCGGAGGCTCCAGCGCCGCCCCGGACGCCGGGGCCCGCCCCCCCGGACGCCGGGGCCCCGCCGCGCCACGTGCCATGGAGCCCCACCTCGGTGACGATGGTGTCGGCGAAGACGCCGTCCTCRTAGATCCACCCGTCGCGGCAGGGCTCTGTAGGCCACCCTTGGGTGATGTTGACCATGGTCACGTTGGCCATGTTGACGTTGGCCGTGGTCATGTTGACCATGGTGCCAATGGCCATGGTCATGTTGGCCATGTTGGTGTTGGCCATGGGCTTGTTGGCCATGTGGACGTCGGCCATGTTGACGTTGGCCACGGGCTTGTTGGCCATGGTCATGTTGGCCATGATGATGTTGGCCATGGGCTTGTTGGCCGTGTTGATGTTGGCCATGTTGCCGTTGGCCATGTTGGCCATGTTGCCGTTGACCACGTTGCCGTTGGCCATGTTGGCCATGTTGGCCATGTTGCCGTTGACCACGTTGCCGTTGACCATGTTGGCCATGCTGACCATGGTGTCGTTGACCACGTTGCCGTTGGCCACGTTGGCCACCAGGAGGTACCTGCGGCAGCGGCTGTCGGGCGGGGCGGGCGCCGTGGGGCCGGCGGCGCCGTGGGGCCGGCAGCGGTGGCCGGGGACGCCGGCCGTGAAGTTCTGCAGCAGGTTGTGGCTGGCCAGCATGAGCAGCGGCAGCGCCAGCCCGGCCACCGAGAGCACCTGGAAGCGGCCCATGCCGCCCAGCGAGGCCAGCAGCTCCGAGAAGGTGGCGGCCACCATGGGGAGCGGCGGGGAGGCCGAGGAGGAGGCCGAGGAGGAGGCYGAAGAGCGCCTGGTGGGAGCAGAGGGTTGGGGTGGAGGATGGACGGGAGGAGGGTTGGGACGTTGGAGGCCGAGGGATGGACAAGAGGATGGGACGGGATTGGAGGATGAAGGATGGGGTGAGGGATGGAGGTGAGGACGGGGTTGGGTTGGAGGTCAAGGGATGGACTGGAGGCCAGGGGACAGG